TATAAGATTAAGTTTTATAAAGATAAATATTAATTAATTTTTAAATATTTAATAATTAAAAAATTATTAATATTTTTTATGTCGATTTTGAAAAATAGATAAGAAAGGTAAGAGAAAAAAAAAAGATAAAAGAAAAAGTAGATAAAACATAATAGAAAGAGGTAGAGATGAAGAGAAAAAGAATATAGGAAAGAGGGGAGATGGAAGGGAGATAAAAATTAGAGAGAAGAAAAATAGAAATAGGAAGAGAAAGAGAGAGAGAGAAGAGACAGAAGGAGGAGAGAAAATAAAATATGAAAGAAAAAAAACAAAATGATACATAATAGATAGAAGAGAGAGAAATTAAATGATAGACAATAGGTATGACAAAAAATATATGAAGAATTTTAAAATTTGTTTTAGAACAATTTAAAATTTTACTATTTTAAAAATTTTCATAAATATTTTTTTTTTAATTCTCAATCAAATAAAATATGTTACTCTAAATTATTTTAAAAAAAATTTTAAAAAAATTGAATTACTCTATTTAATTTATTTTAATTTTTATTTAAAGACAATCTCACAATTGATATGCCTGCATTTTTTATCTAAACAGAAAATCTCATAATTGATATGCCTGTTCATGATGCAAGATAATTTACCTAATTTAGGGTGAATCCATGATGCATATATATCACGAACTACAAAAACGATGGTGAATATATCACGGTGTACAAAAATGTTGATTTTCAAATCTTATAATCTTCTTCTGTTTCTTTGCATCTGTCTTATATTATGACAAGACATGTAGTCATGATAATGTGTGTTTTTTCCACCTTCCAGGTTTCATTTTCAACTAAAATTAAGCACCACTTGAGGATGATTTCAAGCAACACAAATTTCAAAGCCATGTTTGCCCCATCAACCCTCGGAGCGGTATGATACACTATTCATTTCATTAATTGGAAACAAATTTTGTCATGTGTTTTTCTTATCATTCACATTTATTTGGTTCATACATAGTAATTAACACAGATTGCACTAGTTTTAGATCCGTGTAAATACATTTAAATTGCAAAATTCACGAGGTCTCATATGCATTATTGGCACATTAGCAACACATTATTCCATTTCTTTACAATATTCTATTACATACATTTTAGAATATTCTTTACATTATTCACGGGGTGTCACGTAAGTAATAGTCACAGACTCATAGTAAGTATTCTGTCATGTCTCAATGATACAAATATCTCGATTATTTTTGCATATCTGATGAAGTAGTTTAAGTGTTTTTCTCCAAATAAATGTGTTTTTTTTTTCCCACAGATTCTTGGCTTTATCATTGGTGTAATCCCCCAAATACGTAATTTCATTATAGGCAATAATGCTCCACTTCGTGTTGCGGAAGATTCTGTTTCCATGCTGGGGTATGCATCTCAAAACTTATCTTCTATTCAAGATGTTTATGAGTTACAAAAGATAGCTAGTAACTTTTTTTTTTATTTTTTTTTTTATTTTTTTTTATCTCACCAATACAAAGTTTGCTCACTGCTCAAAAGTTCCACATGCTAATGTTATAATAACAATCATGTGCATAAAAGACCTTTTTGCTCGTGCCAAAAGTTCATAGATCTTCAATTAGCTCGTTTTGGGTACAGAATGATTTCTTTAATCAATACTTTAATATCTTTGATCAACATTAAAGATAACATTTTGAAAATTATTATTAAATTAAAATATGATTATATAATTTTTAAAATTGGACTTTTATATTTTTGATTACTTCAATTATTTTTTTATATGTTTTTCAGAAATATTAATTGTCGTGCACCAGATGCTTACGTATTAACTTATAGTTAGGTGTAGAATAATTCTAAATCTTCGAGCTAATGAATAAAGGAATCATCGAATGCTTTTAAAGTTTTTAAGATATTAAGTTCATTTACATTTTTATTTAATATTTTCTTAATAAAAAATATTAGAAAGATTAGAAGAATATTATACAAGAATATATGAATAGTATATATGTACCGATTTAAACAGTGGTCTAAATATAAATTTTGATATAGAGTAAGTTTAATTACAAAATCTACTTTAAAATTTATATTTATTATGATTTTATGAATGACTAACGGCGTAAAATATTTTACATTTTCTTTGTAAATAAATATTGTACACTTATAATAATGAAAACTATTTATAAAATGATATAATAATACAAATATTTATACATGCTTGTGTGTGCATGTGGGCATGTGCAAATGTTGTAATTAGATTTTTTATTTTACTGTTATTCTGGGGAGACATCTCACTTTAATTTCTTTGTCCCTTACTTCCAGTGAGGCAGCCATCCCTACAGTCACTCTTATAATGGGTGCAAACCTACTTAAAGGTGAAGTTTTCTATTGTTTTACAGTGAGTTAGCTTTTGTTTTTGTTTTGTTTTGTTTTTGTTTTTGTTTTTTTTTTAATTTCTTTGGTGATTTATTTAAAGAAAAGAATTATTGGCAAATGGGTCAGGTTTGAAAGGAACCAGAACTCCAGTGTGGACAGTTGTGGGAATTGTAGTGGTCAGATATGTTTTTCTGCCTATTTTGGGTGTTGCAGTTGTGAAAGGGGCCATGCACTTAAGTTTGGTGCATTCAGATGCCTTGTATCAGTTCATACTTCTTCTTCAATATGCACTTCCTCCAGCCATGAATATAGGTACCCTAAATCTACTTTTTAAATAAAAGGGTATATTATATTTTTATCTCTTAAAATATTTTGGAATTCAACTTTATTCTCTTTAAAAGATCAATGTTCTTAGTTTTTAATTACATTTACCATAAAAAAGTGAAGTGGTTTTAGTCTCTTTAAAAACTGAAAACATGCATTTTTGTTAAAATATTGAAAATAAAATATATTTATTTTTGTGTATGAATTAAAATCGAATTTCAAAATATTTTAAAGGGCCGTAAATATATTTTAAAGTAACTTGTATATTAGGCAATAATTATTTACTATATTCTAATACTTTTTTATTTTTTGATAAAATTCTTATATAGGTTCTCCCGAATAGGAAGTCTGACATGTTAATAAGAAATGATATTGTATGTAAATCATTTAGTAGGACCAATGCTGATTTTATTGAATAATAAAATGTGCTTTAAGGAAAAATAAATAAATGTTGATGTGTCGGTAGTATTTTTATTTTTTTTTAAGTTTCTTACTAACTAATTAATTAGCATATTATTTGAACATCATGACATTTTTTTTGGTATTACTATATCATGTCATTTAATTTGCTCTTCTAATGTAGGCTTTTATCCCTGCTTTTCTATTTTGCAATTTTGGTGTGATTTAGTTCTAAATTCTATCATATGTTAAAACTGGATCTCTATTAGATAGTTGGATATCCAAAATTAAAATATACAGAATTTGTGGACCTCGATTATCTCTTAATTGACAGGTTAGTTTGTAAGACATCAATAACTAAGGAAAGCACTTCACATATCAGAATATTTTAAATAAATAAATAACTTTCATATTAAATTAGAATTTACATGTTTTATTAATATATTTTAATATAGTATTATATTTTTAAAATATTCTGATATGTAATTTTTTTATATTATTGAATACTGATTATTTGTTGTTTTATTCATCATATTTGGTAAAAAAAAATAATTACAATTCATACAAAAAACTGTTATACCGAATAATTACATGTTAGTTTGTCAATTAAGATATGGTTGATGTCAATAAATTCTATTGAATTTTGGAGGTCAAACTATTATATACATAGACATCCAATTTTCTACTCTGCAATCTGCCTAAACTACATTCTATTCAGAAAAAAATATAAAAATAAAGTTAACATATATCATAAAATTCCGAGACTAAAATCGATTAATTTAATAAATAAAACAAAATTGAATATAATATAAGGAATTAAAACTACATTTAACCCTTACCAAAATAATAGCAAATCAACCTAAGAAATGACTTTTAAATTACGGATGGGCAATGAAGCTATATTTACATTTGGTAGGAAACTGTTTTCTATTCTTTTTTATTTTTAATTCTTTCATATTCCTGTTCAGTAAAGTCTTAAACCTTAACTAAAGGAGATATTTAAATAATAATAATAAAAAGGCATGTAGTTTTGATAGTGGAATTATATCTTCAAAGTTTAATTAATAAAAATCTAAATTTAGAAAATCTACTTTTTTTATATTTAATAAAGAAGTATAACCCTTTTCTATAGGATGCATAGTTGCATAACACAAACATCGAATGACTTGTATTAACAATTATTTTTTTATTTTATCTATTTTCATATATAATAATAACAACAACAAACTTAAAATTAATTAAGACTTACACGTATTATTCAAATTCTTCTTTGTTTGTTTGTTTGTTTGTTTTTTTTTTTTTTTTCTTTTGTTCGGTTGTTTTTATGTTAGATATTTGGTAGTCTTGAGTACTCATAACAAATTTTGTTGCCACTTTACTTTGGCAGGAACCATAGCACAATTGTTCGGATCTGGTGAAAGTGAATGTTCTGTTATCATGCTATGGACATATGCTTTAGCATCAATTGCAGTTACCCTTTGGTCAACTTTCTTCATGTGGCTAGTGTCTTGATTTTGTATTCATTAATACTGTTATTATTAAATGTTTTTTTTAATCTGAGTCTTAATTTATTATATCTAAACAACTTAAGATCTCAAATGATAGTAGATTAGTAGTGATAACAATAGGAAAAAACCCATTCTCAAATTTTGCAGATATATTACTTATAATTGCTTAATGAGTAAAAGTACGAGTACGAACACATAATATATGATACACAAATTATCGGAAATAAAGATTAAATAGGTAATAAAATATACACAACATTGCACATAAAAAATAGTGAAAGATATACTATAAAAAAAATTGTCATATAGTGACACACACCCTATAATGACACAATAATAAATATAATATATGTTGATATATTGTTAAAAAGTGTAGGTATAGACTAGTGATACACAAAATATGTTGTTAAATTTCATTCAAAATCAACACTAAAATTTTATGTAGTTATATGTTAAATAGGTATATATGCCTACATAGATTATACTTATAGTGACACGTTTTGTATGTTACTATATGAAACATTTTTTGTAGTTATAAAATTAATGTGGTTTAACATATTTTAAATATTTAAATAAATATTTATTATCTTAAAGATTACAAGTTTATTAGATTCTAAAAATCGTTTGTTCATATTGTTCAACACCATGTGTTGCTTAAAGGACTAGATTCAAGATCAAGATTCAATCCTCGTCTTAAATATAGAGTCGTGACTAAAAATATCACTTTAATCTTATAAGAACTAACTCGATAAAAATAAGTTTTATCTCTTTATAATTTTTTTTTATAAAAAGTTTATTGAATAACTTATAACAAACTCTTTCCAAATAGTGTATCACTTTAGGAAACTAGTATCTCACTCAAGAGATACAAGGAATACGCACATGATATTATTCTCCGACTCACAAGTGACCTTCTTACATCTCTTGGAGTCACCTATTTGGAATTCTCTTCCCTTAACACAACTTTCTTCTCACTTCGGGTGTATCTTTTCTCTTCACAAGGGCAAAGAAATATAAAATGATAGTGGAGTTATTTGTAATATCAATTGAAGTGCAAAGAAGCCTAAAATGACACACTACAAGAAACTTGTTTGTTTGCGGCATTTTTTTAGTAAGAGTGGCGGCAGTTTTGACCGTCACAAAATTATATTGCGGCAGTTTATAAACTGCCGCAATCTTGTGCGTCGAGACTCATTTTGTGGCGATTTTTTAAATAGCCACACAAACAGCCGCAACACATTTGATAAAATTGCGGCAGTTATGAACGTGTCGCTATTTTGGAAACTAATAGTAGTTAAAAATTAGCGGTAGTTTTAAACCGCCACAAATGTAAACGTACATTTTATAGTAGTTTGTAACTGCCGCAATTTAGTTCTTATATTAAATGTTTATTATAATTACATTTTTCAACTTGTTTGTTTAAATTATCATCTCAAACATATGTGATAAAGATAAAATAATACAAATGATGCAAATAGAAGCGTCATTCATTAACTAAAGATATTAAATCCAAATTTAGTACATATTAGATTTTCATCTTTCAAACATAGAAATGGTCCTTAAAATTAAGAAACTTAGGTACATAAAAATAAAGAAAATATAAAGATGGTCCTAAAAGCTCCTAACAAACTAAAATTGAAGCAAATCTCTAAATAGTCCCTTGTAATGACCCTTTATTGTCTTCAGGAACATGATTAGACTCAGAAGAACGTATCAAATCTACTAGTGATTCCAATTCAGCTGCCTGAAATTAAAATAATCACAACTTAGATTCGAACTTTTACTTGGACAATAAAATTTACGAATTTTTAAAAACATTATTTTATACCTGATTTCCTTTAACAATTTGCATAAGGAAAGCTAATTGTTCCTTCAAAATAATAATAAATTAAAAAAATGAAATTTATAGAAACCTAGTAGACACTTGTCCTCTTTCATTATAGTTGTAATACCCTAAGTTTTCTAAAATTATTAAAAATATGTTTTAATTAATTAAAAGGGTTTTATAAAATAATTAAAGGTTTTTTAAGTGATAATTATGAGTGTTTTACTTAATTATTAAAAATTTTTAAAATTATTTTTTTATATGATTTAATCGGACAAAATGTGTTTTTTTATTATAATTATTTTTATGTATTTAATTTTATTTATATTTTTTTATTTTCAATAAAGAAAAAAGGTTTTGATTTTAGAAAGAGTTTTAGAAATCCACCATCACTTTACACTTCTTATTTTTCTCTACGCTCCTTTTTCCAAAACCCAAGAACTCCAAAAGGAGAATGCAAGGAGTACATCCCAGAGATCCCCATTCATTATCAAGCATCTATCGACGAGGGAGAGTGAGAGTTTTCTCTCTAGGGTGTAGGGTATTTGTTCGGTAGTGGGATTGATCACTAATCTCATTATTTGTCTTTTGCGCTTTGTGGAAGAAATCCAAAACATGTGTTTGTAGTTGAGTAATGCATGTCGTATGATTCATATGTGCTATGTGGTAAATCTTTGACTTGTATACGTTGTGTGGATATGAATTATTTGCATTAATTGTGAATCTATGATCAAGATCCCATAGTTCCTATAAAAAATACTAGGATGAAGATTGATGAAATTGAAAGATTTTTGTAAAATTGATGTATGAGCTTAATTAATTGATGATATAGAAGTTTATTTCATACATTTATTATGTTTTTAATCAATTGGATTGGGAGAAGTTAGTTTGAGTGTAAGTTGTGCTTTGTTATGAAAACTTTTGTATGAACACACCTCAGTATTTACGTGATTTCTCTTTGTGTGATTAAAAAATAGGATTCTATTTGTTGGATTGAAAAGTAGACATTTAGGGTTATAGTTTAGACTTAGGAATTACATAAAAATGTTAAAAAATGACCAAGTTATGTGAGTTAGAAGATGAACCTCATATTTTGTGTGCATGTAACCCCTTTACATTTTAAGCCTTGCAAGGTGACTTAAATAATCAAATTAGCTTTTAATGTCTTCATAATAATTTAAGCCTTGAGTGTTAGATTTTCAATGGCATTGGAATCACCCAAAATGAACATCTAGAACTTAATTTATGATCAAATTAGTGAGTGAAGGTAAATCTTTTAAATTTAAGCTTAAATGTTGAGGTTTTGTAATTTTTAAAAATAGTAGATGGTAAAACGAACACTTAAGGTAAAAATAGAATTTGTAGATAATTATCTTTTTTTCAATAAAATTTAGATCAACATGATTTCGTAAGTATAACTCCAGATATCGTGTTTAGACTCGATAATGTCATAGACACTTTAGATAAGAAGAGATAGTTTGAGTTCTAATAGTGAGTTGTTTTATCCTTTAAGTGCTTAATATTTTGAATGGTTTGGGATACTTATATCAATAGCTAAGAAAAATAAAGTATAATAGGAGATATTTGTAAATGAGTTATGAGTAATTTATGATGAAGGTATGAAATTATGTTGGTAAGAACTTGTGCTTGAGTCTTTGTGCCTGAATGAGATATCAAGTGCTTCTATGTGATTTGCATAATATAAAATGTTTAAGCATGGCGCATGAGAAATTTATATGTGATATGAGATGATTGTATGTGATATGATATGAAATGTTGATGTTTGACTTAAAAATGTTGTTGCAACGCTTGAGACATTGGTGAATAATGAGATGTGAGATAATGATAATGTATGATACAAGAATGAAACAATAATGATATCGTAAATGAATGATGATCTTGTGATAAAGCTATGTTATGTGTAATTTTGATGATGATTGAGTAAAGAGTTTTGTATGTGAGGCATGCTGTTGGGGTTTCATGGGGTAAATTTTCAAAAAAAAAATAGTTTTCATTAAAAGATCTTATGAGTGAAACAACCCTTTTTGCACATATCACACACTATTGAGAATCATACTAGGGGTTTGAAATTTTATCTTTAGAGTGTGCTTTAAGAATTTCCATTGAATAACCTTTATTTGAATAGAAGACGATTTATCTTTGATGTCACGAAATACCAAAAGCATAATGTCTATACTCAATCCACACAAGCAACATTGGATTAGGTTTTGGTGTTAGCCGCACCAAGAGGACAATAGTAGTTTTGTGAGATGACACAAAACCTTAATTTTCAAGTTGTTGAAAAAATTAGGTTAACACATGTTAACCTAATTTGCATCCTTATTGAGTTTGTACGATATAAGCCTAATTTTTTTTATCTAATTTAATTAAATCTTTTGTGAGTTAATTAAATATTATTTAATTAATTAATCTTTAAATTAAATCTCATTTAATTTAATGACTTGCTCCATGTTATTACACAATGCATATAACCCTGTACGTTCTCACTTGATTGGAAATAATACTTAAATATCATGTTGAATATAATACTGAATATCATAAACAAATATTGACATCTAGTAATGCATCATTGTCACCTAATTAATGGTAAGAAATTGATGATTTGATTTCAACCTCCCACAACCATAATTATTGAAGAGTAATCTGTCCTTTGTCCATATGTCTTTGATTTGAACACGAGACATAAAACTGTCATTCTCGTTAAGTTCAATCATACATTTCTTGATACTTAAGTAGACGTTCAAACACAAATAAGCCCAATATCTCATATTGACCCATTTTCGTGTATCCATGCATATTTGACGCCCACTCTATCGAGAGCCCAAGACATAACTGCCATTATGCAAGAGGGACAAATCATTTCTACACCACTCATATCCCTCCACATGATTCATTGTAGGCCCAATTAACTACCCTTATAATAAGCCTATTATGGATAACGTTTGATAGCATCAAAGCTTACAACTCCTACACGTAAGGATTGAAGTTTAGTGGAGAACACACAGAAGGGGGGTTGAATGTGTGTGAACGAAGGATTTTAAAAAAATGTTTTTGCAAAAGTGTTACTTTCTGTCAGAAAATAATATTTCAACTACGTAAGGAAGGTGCAAGATTGGTTAAAAAGAACTTTGCATCTGAAGATCTATCGTCTGTTCGAAAATGGTTTCCTTAGTCAAAAAAATATAAGTTTGTCTAAATATT